TTTCTCTGGGATCCCTGACAGTAAAGTAATATAATAAATTATATAATAATAATAATAATGTTAAAAAAAATACTCTTACCCACACACATAACAAGTGGGATGGTGGGGGGAGGGGGGGGCAATACTTGCCCTGCCCCGGACAATGACAACAAACGCTAGGCTACTGCTCCTTCGGGCTGACATCCATCAAGGCATTTTAATATTTGCATAACTCCTCCTCCCAAAGGCAAGCCGGGGAAGCGGGGTGCAGGGAAGGCAAAATATAAGCAAATGAAGTGTCAGCTTTGGGATTTGTTAGTTGCAACCCGAGAAACTGATACGTATCCATTGTTGAGCGCAAGCCTTGTGGCCGCAACACTCTGCGCTCTGTACTAAAGCAACGCTGAGCGACCTGCTTCCCCTCGCATTGCATCATTGAAAAAGACGGCGGCGGCGGTTAGGTCTCCCACCGCTGCTCACTTTACCACCGCCAGCGGTTCCTCCCGATAAAGGTGGCTGGTAATCCGCGTACTCTCTGACGGAGGAAGCCAAAGTTTTTTTTTTTCAATCTACGCTTTTATAAAAATTTGATACTGTAATAAATCCAAGGCAGCGCTTTGCTCTGTGACACCTCCTGCTCCGCGCGGTCTCCCCGCCGCACTGACTCACACGTACCGATGGTTCAATGCCGCGACACAACATTCATATTGCAGGAGACAACGAACTCCATTTATTTTATGTAATATTCTCCGATGTTCCAGGCGACCTGCTGCCCGCAGATGGAGTTCTGATCCAGGGGAACGATCTTAAGATTGATGAAAGCTCGTTGACGGGAGAATCGGATCACGTGCGCAAGTCTGTAGAAAAGGACCCGATGCTGCTTTCTGGTGAGGACGCCATAGACCTTAACAAATCATTGCGCTTTGTTTGTTTGTTTTTCCCCCAATTCTCCTGATGGCTATTGCTTTGGATTCTGGAATATTAAAAGCCCTCGTTCACCCCTGAACGTCTTGTAGCGCGTTCTACGCTCGACGCACGCTCTACAAAACGCTCAAAAATATAAATCCCATTGTATTCAATGGTCTCGTTCCCACCTTGGCGTGTTTCCGCCCGTCCCTAACGCGCTACAAAACGGCCCACGCCTGAAAAGGTCCCGGTACTACTTTGGGCCGTTTTGTTGCTCGTTTCCATTGGGATACAGCCAAGTAGCCTTCGGAAACGTGCGACGGTCGCGTGACTTTTTTACCGCGAATCGCGGTAAAAAAACGCACGACGGTCGTGCGACAGACGCGAATATGCAATACGCCTAGGTGTGAACAAGACCTAAAGGAGAACTATGAGGGGGGAGGGGCTTTTCACTCCCCTCATAGTTCTAGCCGACCTGTGACAATGAGACTGTCACAGGTCGGCTCAGTAGATCGGGAGGTGAGCGAACACATGCCGGCGCTCGCTCACCTCTCGATCCTGTCATGGCTCCCTGCAGGGATTGCCCCCTCCCCGCTCCGATCCGGGGGAGGGGGCGGGTACAGCTGGCTCTGCCTCTAGATAGGAGGGGCCAGCTGTCACTCACGCAGCTGGGCGGATCCAGACAGATTTGTCGGGATCCGCTCCGGCTGCGGCGTCTCAGTATACCGCGAGCTGTAGCTCCCTATATACTGAGCTTAGGGTGACGGGAGGACGCTAGTTTGTGTCCTCCCGTTACCCTAAGGAGAACTATGGGGGAAAGCCCTGACCCCATAGTTCTCCTTTAAAGTAAAGCTAAAAGTAAAACTTTTTAAAACTTGTAGATTAGTTAGGGAAGGGTTAAAAAACACTTTTTTGGCCATCTGCATGCCATTCAAGAGAGTTACTTTCACTTCCTTTCCTGTAGAAACAACAGGAAGTGAGGGGAAAACTCTCCAAAGTGAGAGAAATCCTTTCTTGGTTGTCACCGGAAGAAGTGTCCCTATTGGATGATATCCCCTTTTTTCTGTCCTGGTGACCAATATTTCTCAGTATTACATTACAATAGTTACCATGACTAGGGATGAGCTCAGGTTTGGGCCAGGTTCAGTCTAAACCCGAGCGCCTTCGAACATGGAAGTACCATGGGCCACCCACCCAGTCAGCTGTTGGGCCCTCCCGCCCCACCGCTGCACATAAACAAAGGGGTGGGATACTTGTGTTGACATCATTGACCTTCTAAATTGGCCACATTAGGTCAATGTCATTGACTAAATATAGCCATGTGGCCAAGGTCAATGACGTCACTGCATCCCTCCCCTCTGCTTATGTGCAGCTGCAGATGGGAATTACCCAGACCAGCTGATTGGGCGGCAGCACAAGGAGCTTCCTGCCATGTTCACAGTGAAAGATAAAGGTCAAGGATTCTTGAACTGCATCATACCAACACAGAGGAGCTCAAGTTGGGACTGTGTTCCGTCCAAACCTAAAATCTCATCCCTTGTCAGCAAGATCCATTTCTTTTGTAATGCAATGCCAGAAAGACACACCTCCTCTGGACTGTGCTACCAGGAAGGCATACTTCCTGTGGACTGTGCTACCAGGAAGGCATACTTCCTGTGGACTGTGCTACCAGGAAGGCACACCTCCTCTGGACTGTGCTACCAGGAAGACATACTTCCTGTGGACTGTGCTACCATGAGGGCATACTTCCTGTGGACTGTACTACCAGAAAGACACACCTCCTCTGGACTGTACTACCAGAAAGACACACCTCCTCTGGACTGTAATACCAGGAAGGCATACTTCCTGTGGACTGTGCTACCAGGAAGGCACACCTCCTCTGGACTGTGCTATCAGGAAGACATACTTCCTGTGGACTGTGCTACCAGGAAGACATACTTCCTGTGGACTGTGCTACCAGGAAGGCATACTTCCTGTGGACTGTGCTACCAGGAAGGCATACTTCCTGTGGACTGTGCTACCAGGAAGGCACACCTCCTCTGGACTGTACTACCAGGAAGACATACTTCCTGTGGACTGTGCTACCAGGAAGACATACTTCCTGTGGACTGTGCTACCAGGAAGGCATACTTCCTGTGGACTGTGCTACCAGGAAGGCATACTTCCTGTGGACTGTGCTACCAGGAAGGCATACTTCCTGTGGACTGTGCTACCAGGAAGGCATACTTCCTGTGGACTGTACTACCAGAAAGACACACCTCCTCTGGACTGTACTACCAGAAAGACACACCTCCTCTGGACTGTACTACCAGAAAGACACACCTCCTCTGGACTGTACTACCAGAAAGACACACCTCCTCTGGACTGTACTACCAGAAAGACACACCTCCTCTGGACTGTACTACCAGAAAGACACACCTCCTCTGGACTGTACTACCAGAAAGACACACCTCCTCTGGACTGTACTACCAGAAAGACACACCTCCTCTGGACTGTACTACCAGAAAGACACACCTCCTCTGGACTGTATTACCATAAAGACACACCTCCTCTGGACTGTACTACCATAAAGACACACCTCCTCTGAACTATATTACCATAAAGACACACCTCCTCTGGACTGTACTACCAGAAAGACACACCTCCTCTGGACTGTACTACCAGAAAGACAGGCCTCTGCTGGGCTACATTGCCTGAAAGGGGACTTCACAGTTTCTCCTCCAGCTTTGCAGCTTCATGTATTACCTCCCTGGTCATTGTACAATAAATCAATGGTGTCATGATGCTAATCTATAGTCCAGTGGTGTCATGATGTGTATATACAGTATATAGTCCAGTGGAGGCGAGGTGATAACACAGCACGCTGCATCGCTAAACCAGGACTGGCTAACAGGATTACAAATCATCTGGCATGTAAAACAGTTTACAGACAGAATACGTGTGATCAATGTGTATTTAGCTGTTTCCCTGGAATTCGGCATTAGTGTCATTAGAACGATCCTGCAATGTTACAATCCCGTATAATGCTGGAGAAATCCGAGAGGCCAGATGGGCAGGATGCCTACAATTGCAGCTCGTGCCTAACTTTTATTAAGCCTCTTATAGTTAAAGTTTAGGAACATATGTCTATATCACATTGGTCACTTTGCCACATTTTATTTGTTTACTGGAATATTTATCATGTAGATCAGGGGTCGGCAACCTCGGCACTCCAGCTGCTGTGACACTACAAGTCCCATGAAGCATTGCAGAACTCTAAGGCCTGGTTCACACCTGAGCGTTTTTCAGCGCTGATGGAAGCGCTGAAAAACGCCCAAACAGTGAAATCCCATAGTTCCCTTTGGGCATGGTTCCCACCTGGGCATATTTCAGCCCGCGGAAACGCGCTAAGCCCAAACAAGTACAGGAGCTTCTTTGGGGCGTTTTTCCGCGCTTTTCCATTGGTATTCCCGAGTGTGGCTCGGGGTTAACAAAGCGGTAACCGCGAGCCACGCTCGGGAATACAGCGTAGGTCTTACCTTGTCCGTTATCTTTCTTATGTAAACCGCTTAATCCCATCATTGCACATGTAATAAAGATGAAGAAAGGCAGCCATGGTTAAAGGAGAACTATGGGGTCAGTGTTTTTCCTCATAGTTCTCCTCAGGGTCACGGGAGGACACAAACTAGCGTCCTCCCGTCACCCTAAGCTCAGTATATAGGGAGCTACAGCTCGCGGTATACTGAGACCGCCGCAGCCGGGACAGATCCTGACCCCCAGCTGCGTGATTGACAGCTGGCTCTGCCTATCCAGAGCCAGCTGTACCCGCCCCGTCCCCCGTCCGTTCCGCCAGTCAGCGCTGGAGGATCTGAGCGGGGAGGGGGGGAATCCTTGCAGGGAGCCGTGAGTGACAGCCACGGCTCTCTGCAGGGATAGAGCGAGAAGTGAGCGAGCGACGGTATGTGTTCTCTCACTTCCCGATCTATTGAGCCGACGTGTGACAGTTCATTGTCACACGTCGGCTCGGACTATGAGGTTGAGTAAAAATCACTCCCCTCATAGTTCTCCTTTAGGCCGGGTTCACACCTGGGCGTTTTACAGCGCTGATCGACGAGCTGTAAAACGCTCAACAAGTGAAATCCCATAATTTCCTATGGGCATGGTTCGCACCTGGGCGCATTTCAGCGCGCAGTAACGCGCTGAAAAACGCCCTACGCCCAAAGAGGTACAGGAGCTTCTTGGGGGCGTATTTCCGCGCGTATCCGGATAGCCCTCGTAAACGCACGTTTGTCGCGCGTTTCGTTGACCGCAAATCGCTGTAAACACGCGCGGCCCGAAACACGCATCAAACGCGCATATTACGAACGCCCGAGTGTGAACCCAGCCTAATAAAGTCCAGCCTGGTTGAGAACTATGGCTCTCTCTATAGACACGGTGGAGGCCACCCAGGGAAAGGAAGTGTGTCAATGACAGGATCGCAAGGTACAAATAAGCGGAAAAACTCCTGCAAAATAAAAACTAATGCAGCCACCCCATCTAAGTACTGATCAGATGCAATATATAAAATTTTTGTTTTTGGATACATTTGGGTATATTATGCCCTGTCTCTATTCCGATATTAGATAGAAATGAGGGCTCAGTAAACCCCAAGGCAGAAGGAGCCGTTTAGGAGACAATGGAACATACCTTTTACGCTTTCCATTCTGTTGGGAAAGCAGGAGAGGACCTGCTGGAGATGTCACATACCCAGAGGAGGCCAAATAAGCTGGATCATTGTATTCCTGAGGCTGGGAAAGAGAGGGAAGCCATTGGAGGAACAGGCATGCAGACACTGAAAGGGTTATTAAACACTGTGAAGAGCCAATATCTTAATGACACAATAATGGGAACAGATACACCAGGACAGCAGGTGGCCCCAGTAAGAGCCTCCACAACTGGCTCCTGTTAGTCTGTTCCTTCTTCCCATCGTACAGCCAGCTCGTGTTTGGTATAATTGTATTGCAGGCATTCCTGGCAATGGTAGTAATAAGTACTGGGCTGTAATTCACAATGCCAAGGCCCGACTTGAACCGTCCAGGACGAGGAGAAGGATCCCATGCTGGCCCATGCTGTCCCGTGCTGGCCCATGCTGTCCACTACTATTCACGATGACTCATGTTCTTGGCAGGTACACATGTCATGGAGGGTTCTGGCAGGATGGTGGTGACAGCTGTCGGTGTGAATTCACAAACGGGAATTATTTTCACCTTGCTTGGCGCTGGCGGAGAGGAGGAAGAGAAGAAAGACAAGAAAGGTAAATCTAACAGAACTTACTTGAGTTGATGTAAAATGTGGATTTTTTCCGTCATGCGGGCGGATCTATAACCAAACTTTTAAAACAGCATGTGCAAGTAAAACCAGTTTCCTGAGGGGGAGTTTGCATTTGGCGGGAGAATTTAATATCTGCAAGCTTGGGACATAGCAGTTCCAGCAGGCAGTGTGATAGTAAAAAACAAAGCTGACTACATCTCTGCATTTGCACCAAGCATGATACCATTATGTCATATAGCCTTTAAAGAGTTAGGTTCACCCAAATTGTGTTTCTTTTGGTAGAGAGTGATGGGTTCTTTCACCCATTAGCATCCTGGGCAATGTCTTTTATGCACCCGCTCTCCTAGTCATGCCCAATCTCTTCCTCTCTCTACATCACGTGTGTCAAACTCAAGGTCCCAGGGGCCGAATCCGGGCCCCACCAGGCTACTTCCTAGACTTCTACTTTCAGATCTAGGTATTAAGTTATTACTAAAACCCGTGATAATGTGTCAGGGCTGGAATAATGGGCCAGGTGTGGAACCCCTTGGCCGGGACGAATAATGTCCAAAAAGTGCAGTAGAAAAGTATAATCCAATCGGGTAGTCAGGTCCAGTTCTAAAGACACACCTCCTCTGGACTGTACTACCAGAAAGACACACCTCCTCTGGACTGTACTACCAGAAAGACACACCTCCTCTGGACTGTACTACCAGAAAGACACACCTCCTCTGGACTGTACTACCAGAAAGACACACCTCCTCTGGACTGTACTACCAGAAAGACAGGCCTCTGCTGGGCTACATTGCCTGAAAGGGGACTTCACAGTTTCTCCTCCAGCTTTGCAGCTTCATGTATTACCTCCCTGGTCATTGTACAATAAATCAATGGTGTCATGATGCTAATCTATAGTCCAGTGGTGTCATGATGTGTATATACAGTATATAGTCCAGTGGAGGCGAGGTGATAACACAGCACGCTGCATCGCTAAACCAGGACTGGCTAACAGGATTACAAATCATCTGGCATGTAAAACAGTTTACAGACAGAATACGTGTGATCAATGTGTATTTAGCTGTTTCCCTGGAATTCGGCATTAGTGTCATTAGAACGATCCTGCAATGTTACAATCCCGTATAATGCTGGAGAAATCCGAGAGGCCAGATGGGCAGGATGCCTACAATTGCAGCTCGTGCCTAACTTTTATTAAGCCTCTTATAGTTAAAGTTTAGGAACATATGTCTATATCACATTGGTCACTTTGCCACATTTTATTTGTTTACTGGAATATTTATCATGTAGATCAGGGGTCGGCAACCTCGGCACTCCAGCTGCTGTGACACTACAAGTCCCATGAAGCATTGCAGAACTCTAAGGCCTGGTTCACACCTGAGCGTTTTTCAGCGCTGATGGAAGCGCTGAAAAACGCCCAAACAGTGAAATCCCATAGTTCCCTTTGGGCATGGTTCCCACCTGGGCATATTTCAGCCCGCGGAAACGCGCTAAGCCCAAACAAGTACAGGAGCTTCTTTGGGGCGTTTTTCCGCGCTTTTCCATTGGTATTCCCGAGTGTGGCTCGGGGTTAACAAAGCGGTAACCGCGAGCCACGCTCGGGAATACAGCGTAGGTCTTACCTTGTCCGTTATCTTTCTTATGTAAACCGCTTAATCCCATCATTGCACATGTAATAAAGATGAAGAAAGGCAGCCATGGTTAAAGGAGAACTATGGGGTCAGTGTTTTTCCTCATAGTTCTCCTCAGGGTCACGGGAGGACACAAACTAGCGTCCTCCCGTCACCCTAAGCTCAGTATATAGGGAGCTACAGCTCGCGGTATACTGAGACCGCCGCAGCCGGGACAGATCCTGACACCCAGCTGCGTGATTGACAGCTGGCTCTGCCTATCCAGAGCCAGCTGTACCCGCCCCGTCCCCCGTCCGTTCCGCCAGTCAGCGCTGGAGGATCTGAGCGGGGAGGGGGGGAATCCTTGCAGGGAGCCGTGAGTGACAGCCACGGCTCTCTGCAGGGATAGAGCGAGAAGTGAGCGAGCGACGGTATGTGTTCTCTCACTTCCCGATCTATTGAGCCGACGTGTGACAGTTCATTGTCACACGTCGGCTCGGACTATGAGGTTGAGTAAAAATCACTCCCCTCATAGTTCTCCTTTAGGCCGGGTTCACACCTGGGCGTTTTACAGCGCTGATCGACGAGCTGTAAAACGCTCAACAAGTGAAATCCCATAATTTCCTATGGGCATGGTTCGCACCTGGGCGCATTTCAGCGCGCAGTAACGCGCTGAAAAACGCCCTACGCCCAAAGAGGTACAGGAGCTTCTTGGGGGCGTATTTCCGCGCGTATCCGGATAGCCCTCGTAAACGCACGTTTGTCGCGCGTTTCGTTGACCGCAAATCGCTGTAAACACGCGCGGCCCGAAACACGCATCAAACGCGCATATTACGAACGCCCGAGTGTGAACCCAGCCTAATAAAGTCCAGCCTGGTTGAGAACTATGGCTCTCTCTATAGACACGGTGGAGGCCACCCAGGGAAAGGAAGTGTGTCAATGACAGGATCGCAAGGTACAAATAAGCGGAAAAACTCCTGCAAAATAAAAACTAATGCAGCCACCCCATCTAAGTACTGATCAGATGCAATATATAAAATTTTTGTTTTTGGATACATTTGGGTATATTATGCCCTGTCTCTATTCCGATATTAGATAGAAATGAGGGCTCAGTAAACCCCAAGGCAGAAGGAGCCGTTTAGGAGACAATGGAACATACCTTTTACGCTTTCCATTCTGTTGGGAAAGCAGGAGAGGACCTGCTGGAGATGTCACATACCCAGAGGAGGCCAAATAAGCTGGATCATTGTATTCCTGAGGCTGGGAAAGAGAGGGAAGCCATTGGAGGAACAGGCATGCAGACACTGAAAGGGTTATTAAACACTGTGAAGAGCCAATATCTTAATGACACAATAATGGGAACAGATACACCAGGACAGCAGGTGGCCCCAGTAAGAGCCTCCACAACTGGCTCCTGTTAGTCTGTTCCTTCTTCCCATCGTACAGCCAGCTCGTGTTTGGTATAATTGTATTGCAGGCATTCCTGGCAATGGTAGTAATAAGTACTGGGCTGTAATTCACAATGCCAAGGCCCGACTTGAACCGTCCAGGACGAGGAGAAGGATCCCATGCTGGCCCATGCTGTCCCGTGCTGGCCCATGCTGTCCACTACTATTCACGATGACTCATGTTCTTGGCAGGTACACATGTCATGGAGGGTTCTGGCAGGATGGTGGTGACAGCTGTCGGTGTGAATTCACAAACGGGAATTATTTTCACCTTGCTTGGCGCTGGCGGAGAGGAGGAAGAGAAGAAAGACAAGAAAGGTAAATCTAACAGAACTTACTTGAGTTGATGTAAAATGTGGATTTTTTCCGTCATGCGGGCGGATCTATAACCAAACTTTTAAAACAGCATGTGCAAGTAAAACCAGTTTCCTGAGGGGGAGTTTGCATTTGGCGGGAGAATTTAATATCTGCAAGCTTGGGACATAGCAGTTCCAGCAGGCAGTGTGATAGTAAAAAACAAAGCTGACTACATCTCTGCATTTGCACCAAGCATGATACCATTATGTCATATAGCCTTTAAAGAGTTAGGTTCACCCAAATTGTGTTTCTTTTGGTAGAGAGTGATGGGTTCTTTCACCCATTAGCATCCTGGGCAATGTCTTTTATGCACCCGCTCTCCTAGTCATGCCCAATCTCTTCCTCTCTCTACATCACGTGTGTCAAACTCAAGGTCCCAGGGGCCGAATCCGGGCCCCACCAGGCTACTTCCTAGACTTCTACTTTCAGATCTAGGTATTAAGTTATTACTAAAACCCGTGATAATGTGTCAGGGCTGGAATAATGGGCCAGGTGTGGAACCCCTTGGCCGGGACGAATAATGTCCAAAAAGTGCAGTAGAAAAGTATAATCCAATCGGGTAGTCAGGTCCAGTTCCGGGTCGTGGCGGGCATGCAGGAATCGTAGTCGAAGGGTCAAGCGAAAGGGTCGGTAGCCGGGAAGTCAGATCAAGCAACAGGTTCACAGGAGGGAGCTGGGTGTTCACCATGAGGTAGAATAACTCAGCAATGAGTCAAGGCTCTGACCAGCTTTAAATGAACAGGGAACCCAGGACCGCCCCCTGGCTGCCGGGGCAACCAGGAAGCTTCCCCAGTCAGAGTCCAATCACAAGGCTGAGGGCAAGTGGTGAAAGCTGAAGTCCTCCCCCAGGCTGTGGCTTGGAATGGCGCAGGCGCACCACGCGACTTGCGCACGCGCACTGGCCACACCAGCGCCAGATGCCCTGCCAGGGGGAGGAGGAGGAGCTACCTGTGCCCGATGCCTGCGAACCTGACGAGGAACGGCCCCCCTGGGCCCCTGACATAATGGAATGCAGAGGCAATTATGATAAAGACTAGATACATTTATATCGTCTTACAGGCCCTTTGAGGGCAACCATGATGTTGATTCGGCCCACCATTAAATTGAGTTTGACACCCCCTGCTTCTACATGGTTGGACTTTTGGAACTGGCATGAGGTGGCATCCTCCGCTGGAAATCATGGTTTTCTGAAAGATATTGGGTGGCTGACCACATTGATATCAACCCCAAAACTGGGCAGTCAGTTTGTAGCAGTCTTACCTTTATATGCTGAAGTATAACCAGATAGGTTATGGTGAGGTGGGTTTGAGCCAGAGCACGAGGGGCTGGCTGGAGGTTTTCTTTGATAATGCCGTGTAGTGTCAGAGAGGGCCACACAGTGAACATTGATGGATCGAAGCTGGAGGTACAGGGTGGGCTGCATTAGAGTGGCGACACTAAACTCAGGAGTTAAACTTTAAAATTGCAATTAAGTACCTTTAACTATTACCGATGTAAAAAAAATGTATCTTATTGGTGTATCACCCGGCTGGAGATCCCCCAATCATCTCTGACACTGTCCTTCCTTCTGGAGGGGGGCTACGTCTGTTCCCCATGGTCCCTGTGTGTGGTGTAGTCACCGCTCCAATCTTGCTTTTGTGATGGACTACAATCCCAATACAAATCAGTAAACTAAACATGAGATTGGAGACCATCACAGGAGCGAGCTTGGAGCGGTGACTACTCTACAACACACACAGGGAATAATAGTAGTCCCCCTCCAGAAGAAAGGACAGTGTCAGCACCAATTCAGAGATGATTAAAGGACCCATAGCCGAGTGATACACAAATAAGATACATTTCTGTTAATAGTTAAGGTACTTGGATGCATTTTTAAGATTAAAGGAGAACTATGGGGTCAGTGGGTTTCCCCCATAGTTCTCCTCAGGGTCACGGGAGGACACAAACTGGCGTCCTCCCGTCACCCTAGGCTCAGTATATAGGGAGCTACAGCTCGCGGTATACTGAGACGCCGCAGCCGGGACGGATCCCGACAATACTGTCTGGATCCACCCAGCTGCGTGACTGACAGCTGGCTCGGCCTATCTAGAGACAGAGCCAGCTGTACCCGCCCCCTCCCCCGTCCGTTCCGCCAGTCAGCGCTGGAGGATCGGAGCGGGGAGGGGGGGGGGAATCCCTGCAGGGAACCGTGAGTGACAGTCACCGCTCTCTGCAGGGTGTGGCAGTGCATGGCAATGCCATTGTGGTATCTCCATTCCTGTGTCCAGAATCTGAGTGGCCAGCGCATGCTGATGGCACAGGTGTGCACAGCCTTTAAATTAAAGGTGTTGGGAAGGGTTCAAGACTCCACCTGGGAGAGAGGAAAGCCCCACCAAGGAGTCAGAGTGGAGTCCAGTGCAGCAGGGTGCTGCGGATTGGGAAGAATCCCCCAGTGTGCAGGTTAGCACATGACTGAGGCTGTCTGGAGGAACAGGCAGTGGGCTGAGGCCGGAGCAGCGGTGCTGCAAATGCAAAGCCAGGGGGCTGGAGGGGCAGGTGCTGCCATGAGATGCTAAAGAACCCCTGCGAGGGTAATTGTTCTGTTTTGTGAACTTTAATAAAAGTGGGCAAGGAAGCCCTTGAATGAAGATTGCAGCGAGTGGATGCGTCCTTAATGCGCTACAATTGGAAGCTAAATCTCACAAGGGTCATGATATCGAGAGGTGAGCGAGCGCCGGTATGTGCTCGCTCACTTCCAGATCTATTGAGCCGACGTGTGACAGTTTCATTGTCACACGTCGGTTAGAACCTCATAGTTCTCCTTTAAGTTCTGTATCAAACAAGTACAAGCAACCCCTTGAGGACCTTAATGTCCAGGGCTTTGTGCAACAACATTTTTGGGGGGCTTAATTAATAGTCAATATAATAGATTCTAAAGGACTCGACAGGTTGATCCATCTAGCTTTGTTTTTTCAGACGTAATAGAAAGCCCAATTGTGTGATTTTTACTTTGCATTTTTTTTTTAAATGTTTAATTAATTTGTTCAGAATGTTTCCCAGTCTGTTTAATTATTTTACTCATTGACATCTCAGTCCAGTGTCTGCTGGTGGAAATGAAGATGTAGTCAGCACAGATCCTGTGCCGTGTAAAGCTTGCATTGCAGTAGGGATGTTGTGCGTTTCCGCCTTCGGGGCAGCGGCGTAGAAAGAAAAGCATGCTGCGTTGCTTTAACGCAACCCTCCTGGCACCATGATCTGAGGGTACATCTTTTCTTTCTATGTCCCTCCGAGGAGACCCTTCCCATGACCCATGCAAGTTGGCTGTTGGGATGACATTGTACTGCATAGCAGCCCCTGTGATCCTAACCATAACTATGCAATGTTGTTGAGTTTTGGCATATGTCAAAAGCAGCAGAACCACCAAGGTCATTAAACCTAGTGTAAAGGAGAACTCTACGCAAACATTGGGTGGGTATGGCAAGAGGGTAATTACCACCTATGCTCCAGTTTCTGTTCTCCACCGTTCCAAAAACTCTGATTGGGGCAATTCATCTTCTATCTATAAAAAATAAGTCAAGGCAACTGGACTTGCTGTATTTTTCTTGTAGCGTGACTCTGTCATAGTGTAGGACAGCCAATGGGAGGCACTGTAATGTATGTACAGTACAGAAGCCAACCACTGGGCTTCTCTCAGCCAGTGGTGCATGCTGGGAGAGTGTACGTATATTGCTGGGACCTGCCATGTGCTCTCTCTCCCTCGCCGGGACCAGACATGGATTAGGGCTGGGGTCCTGTTCAGCCAGCCCCCCCAGGCTAGGCCGAGGCCTGGGGGTAGGCAGTGGCTGGAGTGAGGGAAAAGTTTTCCCTGAGGCCTCCTCCAACATGGAGGAGGCCTGAGAGATGGAAAGAGGAAGAGAACCAGGACCAGTGCAGGCTCTTGAAGCGCTCTGGAACCATGTGTACTTCAGAGTATGGTCGGTATCTTTCCTGTGATTGAGGATCTGCATCCATCTGGACGGTCTAGTACATCAGTGGTCATCTGATGTGGTCGGGTGGATCTGCATGGCTACTTTTACAAGGTCCGGTGAGTCTGGAGCTTCTGATGGTTACCCTCTGGACACCTAGAACCCCTCCCCCCTCTCTCCCCCAAAGAAGATGTTCAATAAACTGTTTACTTAGCATCCTACTACTGAAGTGGACGTCAATTTGTGGGCACCAGAAGAGGGCGGTTCGTGCTAATGGGGCGCAGCTGGAGATCAACCCCCTAGACCGACTAGATGTGGACCGGGCAACCAGCGGCTCCCTGCGGGGAGTTATCGCTACATTCTTGAAGACATTTCACTGGACATCCAACCAGCTTTCTCAATTCCAGTTGCCTTGACTTATTATTTTACAAATATACCATGACCTGGATGAATGAGAACCTTCACAGACAATTCATCTTTTAGTTTTCCTTCAGCTCATCTGCCTTTTGAGGTGTTTACAACAGAAGATCTGTAAAAAAATTATATCAAGGCAACTGGACTTGCTGTAATTGTTCTTGAAGACGTCTCACTGGTTATCCGGCCATCTTTGTCATTCTGAATTGGGAAAGCTGGTCGGATGACCAGTGAAACGTCTTCAAGGAAAAATTACAGCCAGTCCAGTTGCCTTGATCTATTTTTTACAGATATACCATGTGACCTGGATGAATGAGAACCTTCGTAGACATGCTTACAACAGAAGAACTTTTAATAGGCATCGTCAGGAAATCTGCAAGCGGCAGTCTGGAGGAAGGCTGGAGCAGAAAGTCATAGTTGTAGGTCATGGCAGGAGCTGTGGCAAGGGGATGATTCATACTCCTACCTCTCCCTACAATCATCAGCATCTAAATGGCTTTCTTAAGGCAGTAAAAGGACCACTGACTGTGTGTAAAGTGTAGAAGTCAACAGCAGACTGAATTCGTCTTCTACTGGGAAAAAAAAAATAGGCGGAGGGCGTACATGACTAAGTGAAAAAGGGAAACGATGAATAAAGAGTTAATTAAGGGATGGGTCAACAGGGCAAGGTCACTTACCTAATTGGTCAGGTTCAAAGTTCGTGCAGAGCCTTAGGACAGTGTCGGCACCAATTCAGAGATGATTGGAGGATCTCCAGCCGAGTGATACACAAATCAGATACATTGTTGCTCGGAGTTCAGGGACTTGGAGGGATTTTTGAGGTTTAACTCCGGAGTTTACTGTCAGTTTAATTACAGCCTTGAGGAACAGGCAGAGGAACACATTATTTCGGGGATATCCTGCCTAAAGTATTTGAGAGAGGTGAGGAGCTAGGTAGATAATCAGCTCACTAAAATCAAAAGTTAACTTTTAGGGGGAGTTATTCTCTCTCTCTCTCTATATATATATATAATGTCACTTACTGTATGGTAGGCACTCGAAGGGCTTCCATAGGAGTCCACCGTTCTTAAGGCCTTTGAGTGCTTCGGGGTTGGTGGGCTGTGACTCACTGACACATTGGCATAATAAATATATTGGCTATGCTGACAGATAGATAGATAGATAGATAGATAGATAGATAGATAGATAGATAGATAGATAGACGTTTGGTATTCCTCAACCTCCTTTGGGAGCCCTTTGAGTGCCTAACCTACTTTTGGTGGAGAGAAGGAGTGAGAGATAATACTCAACCTGAATTGTCAAACTTTTCAAGGTCCAGTGACCCTATAATATTAGCTATGCTGATAGATAGATAGATAGATAGATTATAGATAGATAGATAGACAGATGATAGATAGATAGATAGATAGATAGATAGATAGATAGATAGATAGACAGATGATAGATAGATAGATAGATAGATAGATAGATAGATAATGCATTATGGGTGTGAGAATAATTCCAACTACCTGATAAAGTTCTCTGCTTTGACTGGAGTTCTCCTGGCAGGAAACACTATACGTTTAATGTATTATCACTTGACTGATATAACTTTGTGGTGGTATTGCTGCTTTTATGCTCATTGAAGGCCGGACTGATGTTTAGAACCCATTTCATTGTTGTTTAATTTTTTTTTTTGTTTCTCTTACTTCTTTTTCTTCCTTCCTTCAACCTGCTCGTGGACATTTCCAACCCCGATTGACTCCCTTTTCTCTTTCACTTCCTTGCTATCAACCCCACTTATACGAATCTGCACTCTTCTCCCCCCTTTGTTTAAACTGTCTTTTCCTAGCTGCCAAATCTGCCGTCACTGCCCACCATATCACTGCCGCTAACGCTTTCCTAACATCCAGCTACATGAACGGTACGTGTGATTTTAGGGTTCAAGGTATCAGAAAGTCTTAACGGGTCAGTCCCTCCAAACTGTATATTTGACGTTTTGGTTAGATACTGGAGGGAAGAACCACCCACCGTCTTCCATATCTCATGGACTCCAGAGATGGGTTCTTAGAACTGGAGTTTCAATATCCAACAGGCATCAATATGTGGAAAGGCAACAAAGCCAAAGGGTCGAAAACCTCAGTGGTGGCTGACTGCCCCATTTCCCATTTGGTTATTTCTTACCTTTGTAAGTCTTTAGGAAGAAAGATGTTCGGAAGCTCATACACTAACACATATTAATTACTTTACAACCAGGGGCGTAACTAGAAATCACAGGGCCCCATAGCAAAATTTTGTATGGGGCCCCCGTGATTGCTAGTTATGCCACTTGCAGAGCCCCAGCAGAGAGTGACCCCGCAGAGCCTGCCATAGACTCTCTATAGTGGGCTCTGCAGGATCTGAGATCTCTTACCTGTCAGCGCCTCTGTGGTCGCCGGGCCCCGACTCCTGTTCCGTCCCGGAGCCCCGCCTACTCGGCTATCGACGGGCCCCTCCTTCTCTTACATCACTGGCCACACCTGCTCTTAGGTCGCTGAGGTAAGAGGAGGCGGGCCCCGCCTCCTCCATTCCGAACACCGCCCTCATCTGCCGCAGCGGCTGGCTGTCACTGACACAGGCTATGAGGTGAAATGCGCCGTGGCCGCTGCTGAGCTGTGTCTGTGACAGCCAGCACCCCCACACACCATAGCAACCCCCCTGTGCCCGGGCCCCATATCGGCCGCCTGGGTCGCTATGGCGATTGTTACACCACTGTTTACAACATACTGTATTTGAGCAAAAAGTTCTCAGGTTGTAGCGGGTTGCACAATATCAATAGCTGAGGATATAATTAAGCAACAATGTGGCTTAGAACCCTCTCTATGAGAACCCACAAAACAGTCTTTTGGGATCCTAAGATTGTAAATAAAATATTCACCCGGCCAGGTTGGAAGAAACCACTTGTGATTCGCAGGCCATGGGGAGCTGCCCAAAAAGTGTCAATACAAGGTGTCAGAAATGGCACACTGGCATTTGGGCCATGGTGTAAAAAGGCATGCTGACACATGGGCCCTAGTGGTGTAAAAGTCAGAGTGATACTTGGACCATGATCTAGCTCCTTTGGCCTAGGTCATAGTCACCCCACATTGGGACAGCAACAGGGCCATCTTTAAACGAGCTTTTACCCTGACTTATGCCCAGGGCCGGATTTACTCACTCTCTGCTGCCCCAATGCAGGGTTCCTCAATGCACCGCCCTGTATGCAGGCTGCATACAAGCGTCAGCTTCCCCGCTGTACATTTACCTCTGCTTGGCCAAAGCCGGGCTAAATGTAGAAAACAACTACCTGCCCGGTGCCCGGAACTGCATGTCCCGGGCGTCGGTAAGTAGGAATTCCACACCCCTGCTGCCCCTCTACTCCCTGCTGCCCCAAGGCCGGGCCGCGGTTGGCCTTGCGGGAAATCCGGCCCTGCTTATGTCCACTTTTCAATATCATACCCATTGGCCATTGAAAGCTTTCCATATAATCACCCACCACCACCACCTTAGGCTTAGTCACGTTCTGACTCCTAAAACTGAACTTTGGCTTGATGGGGCGGGGGGGTAGGGGGTAAAACAGCTGATGTCAACCAACCACTGGATATGTCCAAATTACTCTTTTTGCTCCTTGCCAGTGGCCACGTGACCTTTCAGCGGCAGCTCTGTACTAGTAACCAACCAAACCTAGAGAGGCGGTAGGTAAAATGATGAGACTTTCAGCAGATTATATATTAGGGCAATGGGGAGAATATTCAACGTAAACTCGCTGTCAGGGTATAGGTCTGCTTTTACATTTCACGATTCAGGCCAGCAGCATCCACCCAAAACTTTTTTTTCGGGTGAAGGTAAGGAGGTAAGGTAAGGTTTACCAGCCACACTCACGGTAGGGGTGAGAATTTTTTTTTTTTCTTTCAAAATTCGAGTTCCTTAAGAGTTGGCGTCATCAGAAGTGCCATGGGCAAACCAGAAGCTGCACATTATGTCACGAATAGTGGTTTGTCCCACAGAATGTCAGCCTTGACAGTGTGGGTTCCAAAGGGTGTGGTATTGTGTGGCAATCCCACGGTAGAACTGGGGGTTGTAGTCAGGGCAGCCATCAGAAATGTTTGAGCCCCTTACACGGCTTTAGGCCGGGCCCCCCTCCCGCACCGCTGGCCGCAAGACTTAATGCCTCGCTTGATGCATCCCTCCCCATCCCTCCCCTCCCTCCTTTCTCCCTCCACTTCCTGCCAGTCCGACATCAGACGAGCAGCGTCGCTGATGGGGCAATAGCTTGTCTCAAAGCCACTGGAGTGGCAATGCTGGGGCCCTGCGCTACTAGGACCAGGCCTCCGCCTCCTCGCCCTTCACCTGTGGCCGATAGTCATGTAAGGGACCCGGGCGGGCCCCCCCGGCTGCCCGGGCCCCTTACATGAGTATCGGCCGTACCCCCCCTGATGGCTGCCCTGGTTGTAGTCACCCAGGAATCTGAGCCAGAGGTGCTGAGCGGTTCCAGGAAGCAAGTACTTGTACTGGGAAAGGGCTGACTTTGCAGTTCTTCACAGATTTTGTGGATTTGGCATGGGATCCTGGAACTGGGAGATTTCAAAGAGAATTGGGAGGGATGAGATCTCCAGTCCCGGATCCCCGTGGTTTAGTAGGGGCCAGCACCTAATTGCACACCTGTGCACAGCCCTTATGGAAAGGGTGCTGGCTGATGTTCAGGGCTCCACCTGGGAGACAGGAAAGCTCCACCAAGGAGTCAGAGTGGAGTCCGGTGCAGCAGGGTGCTGCGGATTGAAAAAAAACCCGGTGTGCAGGTGAGCACACGACTGAGGCTGCCTGGAGGAACAGACAGTGGCCTGAGGCCGGAGCAGCGGTGCTGCAAATGTAAAGCAAGGAGGCTGAATGGGCATGTGCTGCCAAGAAACGCTAAAGAACCCCTGCGAGCGGGATTGCTTTGTTTTGTAAACTTTCGTTTTATAAAGGTGGGCAAGGAAGCCCTTAAATGAAGATTTAAGCGAGTGGATGCGTCCATTTGGAGCGAACCCCCACAAGGGTTATATCCAAGAGGTGCTGGGACTTCAATGTTTGTTCATACGGAACAGTAAAGGTGAAGGACAGTCATTTGGAAAGCTCACTAATTTTTTGTATCTGCGAGTACTTGATCAAAAGTATCGGTACTCGTACTCGCTCTTAAAAAAGTGGTATCGGTGCATCCCTACTAATTTTGGTTTTTGGGTCTCCCATAAAAAACAGGGCTACCTTCTGATGAGTACCCAGGAACATCACTCAAAGCAGCAAAGAAGGAGCGCCAGACCAAATTCATAAAGGAGTGGTTGGCTGCCATTTTACCGGCTACTGCTACATCTGACTCCTTTCAGGCAATAAGCATCAGAATTGTTTGGTGTTGCTTCCCTGAGCCCATTTAAACACTTGCCAATATGATTGAGCCCTGATGACGGATGGGGTGGTTCTTGCCCCCTAAACCCGTTGGCTGTTGTTGTTATGGTGTTGTTGAATGTGGTCTGGCGCTCCTTCTTTGGTTCATGCCTTGGTTGACCGGTTAGGTGACAGCTAATCTTTGCAGCAGGAGCCGTCAGTGTCGCTCATACACTGGAAGTATTTTTAGATGGCGGAGCTCAGGAAATCAGCAAATAGCTTTTTGCTTAGAGTTACCGGTAATTTTTTTGCCGGGAAGTTGGCAGATAACATGTGACTTCTGTCCCTTTCAGCGCTGCGGAGTGTAATTCATTTTTTTGATTTCAGTCCAATTTTCTGATTTTCTGATTACACGTTTTAAAGACAGGAAAGTGGTAGAAATAATTCCTAGTACCGACAATGCGCTCTGGAGAAATGATGAAAAAACTTCGAAGGGCCGGGGGCCTCTTACTTAAAGGCGAACTATGGGGTCAGGGCTTTTCCCCATAGTTCTCCTTAGGGTAACGGGAGGACACAAACTAGCGTCCTCCCGTCACCCAAAGCTCAGTATACCGCGAGCTAGAGCTCCCTATATACTGAGACGCCGAAGCCGGGACGGATTCCGACATTACTGTCGAGATCCATCCAGCTGCGGGATTGCTACAGCTCGCGCTATACTGACACGACGCAGCCGGAGCGGATCCCGACTTAGATGACCGGATCCGCCCAGCTGCGTGAGTGACAGCTGGCTCTGCCTATCTAGAGGCTGTACCCGCCCCCGTCCGTTCCGACAGTCAGCGCTGGCAGATCGGAGTGGGGAGGGGGGAATCCAGCCCTCCCCAGTCACGGCAGAGAGCCGTGACAGGATCGAGAGGTGAGCGAGCGCCGCTATGTGTTCTCTCACCTCCCGATCTACTGAGCTGACCTGTGACAGTCTCATTGTCACAGGTTGGCTAGAACTATGAGGTGAGTGAAAAGCCCCTCCCCCCTCATAGTTCTAGCTGACCTGTGACAATGAGACTGTCGCAGGTCGGCTCGATAGATCGGGAAGTGAGCGAACACATACCGGCGCTCGCTCACTTCTCGACCATGTGCCAGCAGAGAGCCGTGACAGGGGAGGGACTGGATTCCCCCCTCCCCTGTCCGATCCTCCAGCGCTGATTGGCGGAACGGACGGGGGCGGGTACAGCCTCTAGATAGGCAGAGCCAGCTGTCACTCACGCAGCTGGGTGGATCTCAACAGCAATGTCGGGATCCGTCCCGGCTGCGGCGTCTCAGTATATAGGGAGCTCTAGCTCGCGGTATACTGAGCTTTGGGTGACGGGAGGACGCTAGTTTGTGTCCTCCCGTGACCCTGAGGAGAACTATGGGGAAAAGCACTGACCTCATAGTTCTCCTTTAATATGAACTGTATAAGCTGCTCGATAGAAACATTGATAGTAGATCAGTAAATACAAAAACAGAACAAACATGTTAAAACTAAATATTAAAGCCTTCAAAGTAGTTTTGTTTCCCAACCAACGTGCTGCAGTTGACAAAACTCCTCCATGATGTTCTCTTTTCGGCACCCTTGTTGCCTGTTTGCTATTTCAATCAAGGCTCCACCAACACAGACCACATTCAACACCATCTAGTAAGAGTGAGGTGGAGAGGACTTTGTTGATGCACATTACGGAAACAGTTTTAGGGTCACTTATGGCAAAGATGAATCCGCAGATAGCTGTAAATATATCTTCAAAATGCTTTTGTTTTTTTTTTAACGGTCCCTTTCCTGCAACTTGGCGATGTCCCGCCCACTTTCTACCAGCCATTCACTGTTCCATGTTTGATGTTTGCTTTGGCTGTTGTTTGGCATGGCCCAACTATCCCACCATACTGTATGTATGTCTTGCGTCGCTACTGTGCACAGTGCGTCTCGTCTGTTTTCATGTCTTGTGTTTGTCATCCCCTCTTTTGTTGTAGGAAAGCAGCAGGATGGGGCAGTGGAGAATATTCAGAACAAAGGTAATGTGGATGCCTCTCATAGTCTAATGACATAAGGACATCAGCGCCACTCTGTGAGGATGACACTCACTACGAAAAAAGAGAGAAATACGTTTTGCTTCCCCAAAGAGCAAAGAGGGTTGGCACAGCCGTCAGGAGGCCAATAAATAAGTTGGAACTGGGAGATAGTTGTAGGAATAACTAGGGAGGCACCGATACTGATACTAGTATTGGTGCCGATACCGAGTATTTGGACGGGTACTCGTAGTCGCCCAAATGCTCCGATACCTCTCCCGATACCGGATTTCCTTTGACCGGCAGTGCCGTAAAGGGACATGGAGCCAACTTCCCGTGCGATCAGGAAGCTGGGCGGCGAGCAATGACCTTTCGGATTGGCCGCGAAGCCGGCTCCTTGCTGATTGACCAGTCAGCATTGAGGCGGCCGAACGATGCTGATTGGCTTCCCAGCCAATCGGCATCGAGTCGGCTGCCTCAATACTGGTTGGCCAGGAAGCCGTCTTCCAGGCTAATCAGGAAGCTGCTGATTGGCTGATTGGCTGGGAAGCCGGTTTTCCGGCCAAGCTCAAATCAAGCAGGTTAGACAACATGGAGTCAGCTTCTTGGGCAATCAGCTGGCTCCATGGCAGCGGAAGCACCGGTATCGGTGAATCCCTAGGAATAACTATTGTTTTTGGTGTGAATCCATAAAAAAAAGGCGGTCAACCTTCTTGAAGGAGGTCATCCCATTGGGAATGATGATATGTGTAGACCTGGTTCAGGCCATAGGCTGCTGCCTCTCGCTGAATCACTCTTCAGAACATCAAATCCTGGATAGGTGGTTGGTAGCGCCAACCACAAACCGGCCATCTTGTTTGTATATTCCTTTCAAAGCTTTATTGAACAAGAACATCAGATCTGACAGACGTGACTTCCCTCTGGACATACCGACACTTTCATTTTTAGTGCCAATTTAGCCCATTTAACAAATTCTTCCCTGATTACCCAACAAATTGTTATATAAGCCCTTGAAAGAAGGCGGCCTGTCTCTCCTGAAATGCGTGGGCTGCATCTAATGTTCTCATCCAATAAACAACTTAAAGGAATAACGAAGCAAGATGGCCGTCGACACGTCCAATCAAAAACATTGGAAACTGAATTTCTACAGACAGTTTAGATTACCGGAGGTGACATCGGTTGTTTCAGATGAGGCCTGATTGGTTCCTAAAAGCAATGGTTTCTCTTTTGCTCCAGTTTTTTATAACTCGGCCCCCAATGTGCGTTGTGTTAATACCGGCTACTATTGATTAGTCCTTCCCAGCGGAAGAATGGAGCGAGGGGCTGCGGGTTTTTTTTTTTCTTCCCACTTTTTAAATGTTTATTTCCAAATAATGGTTCACAGCGTGGGAAGCCCTCAGCCAATCAGGCATCTCATTCTTCCCTGCCCACTTGGTAAATGAGGAACGAGGCACAACAGGGTGTGTAGTGTTAGAGCAATAAGGCATGACAGGGCTTCTATTGTGGGCCCGCATTTATACGCCTCAGGTGCGTTGTTTCGGTAGGGGCCTGATGGTCGAAATAGCAGCCTCCGTTGAGAAGCATAATTGCGCGACAACAATACAATCTCGGCGGGGGGCATGCTGGCAGCTTAAAAATGGATATGTGAGGAATTGAAAAATATTCACATTTCCCAGTCAAACGTTCGCAATGACAGTTTGAAAAATATTAAAATAGTATTAACGAGGGTCGGGTTGGACACACAGGACACAGAGTGCTTGACGTAAATTCTTTCGGTGAGTAAGGCGAGATCTCCACTTACCGATTGTACCGCCGACAGAATGTTCTAACAGCAGCTTATCAGCAAAGGGTTCACTGACGCTTATGGACCTCCGGCTAAGATAAGCTGGAGCTATTATAGGAAACCTGTCTAGAGAAACACTGGGCTCCCTATCCATACCTCTCCTTCTGTAGGCTGCCTGACCTCGGTTCCTTCATTTAGATACAGCGGTGTCAAACTCAATGTAATCGTGGGCCGCATCAACATTATGGTTGCCATCAAAGGTATCTGTTAAGGTGCCCATACACCTTACGACCATCGCAAGACTTTTGTCTTGCGATGGTCGTATGCTTATTGAAAGCTATTGAAAGCTCCTACGATCTGCCCTTGGACGGGCAGATCGTACTTGCGATCATCGAAAGCCTGCCCCGCTGAGGGGCGGGCTTCCGATGACCGCAATGCAGAACGGGCAGTGTGCGCGTGCGCACACCAGCCCATTCCCCAGCTATCGGACGAGCAGGCTAGAAACCCGCCGACAATCGTACGATTCTCGGCGGGTTTTCGAGCATGTTGGTTCGACAAAAGACGTGCGACCGTACAGTAGAAACGGTCGCACGTCTTCGTTCACACTGCTCGCGGGATTTCAGTGTATGGGCACCTTAAGACTCAGTGGCGTCACAAGGGGAGTGCGGGGGGTGGGGCCCGCACCCGGGTGATTTCACGGGTTGTAGTAATAACTTAACACTTAGATCTGAAAGTAGAAGTCTAGAAAATGGCCTGGTGGGCCGGATTCGGCCCCTGGGCCTTGAGTTGGACACGTGTGACTTAGAAAGACAGCCAGCAAAGGAACATTTTCACAAGTAGGTCAGCAATTCTTGTCTACAGAGCTCGAGTGTCCAGATACCGGGCACACCCTGTGCAGGTATCTATACAGGAGAATCAAATATGAGACCACACCAAATAATGCTTATGTGCACTGAAGTGTATTAGCTTCTCCAAAAAAACACCACCAACCATAAGCACCCCCACCAACACCCGCAAGTAACATATAACAATACAAGTAACAATTACACCCCGGAGACAACAGGGCAAAACCATGGGGAGCAGGACAACAAGGGGGGAGCCACTGATCAAGAGACCTCAGGGGTAAGGGTCAGGAGTTGGGTACAAGGATACAGGCAACAGGCACAGGCAACAGGATATGGCAACAATACTGAGGCACAGACCTCACTGCAAGGAGAGGCTAAATACCTCCCCAGACCAGCACCAGGTGGTGACTAATTGCTGGGAGTCACTCGCGGGTCAGCATCGGAACTGCAGGTTCCAGCACCATAGTGCCACCCAGAGGTGGTCTGGTACCTGACAGCTACTGGCTGGAGAGCACTGGAACTGCATGATCTGGTTCCACTGCCACAGTGCCACCTGGACGTGCTCCGGTCCCTGACAGTGAGTATCAGCTTTGGTAGAAGCGTCCCTCTTAAAGTGGACCTTGGTGTGCTGGGGGAATAGGCCTTGTTCACAGTGCCAACAAAGGTTGGAGGATTGGAAAGACATCCTGCAAAGGGATGATGGGGCGTTGTAACTATATCAAGTAATTTTGTCTCGTGATATTTAATGCAGGCGGAAGCTTTAGGGGCCAAAAAGAAAAGACTCAATACATGCCCTGATCAGATTCCCGTAACGTAGGGAGCGGACCTGTCCACAGACCTGAGGTTCGTAGGAAGAAGAGACTGGATATCAGACACAAAACACGCATTTTGAGTCACCCCTATTGAGTCTATGGGGCCCAAAAACCCAGCAATTCTGCCCGAAAAAAATCTCATGTACTTTTTGGCATGACAAGTGATAGCACAGTGCTCAGCTGTGAATGGGCAACCATTGAACAGAATGAGAATCTTGATGCTGAGCGTTGTCACGCTTCGGGGGAAACGAGTGACAATTCACTCAGGTGTGATTGGGGGGCTTATTTGAAGGTTTACAGGTGCCGTCAAACGACTCGGCAAACTGTTTCCCGGTGTGGACATGTTGTCACCGTCATCGACGGAATCTTCTTAAAGGCAGGTGCTGCTCTCCTCGGGGGAACATCTAATTAGAGGAATGTGTTGTGTGCGCACTTATCCTAGATGCAACGCAAAGACAATTACAGATACTGTTTTTCAACATGAAAGAGAATCCAGGATGAAAAGGCTTTGTGAGTGCAGATATTCCTTCAGGGGCAGATGGCATGAAGACATGAAAAAAGGAAGAAAAACCACTTAAAGACAGTGAATGTCTGAATCACAGAGTACGAAGGGAGGGGCCACATTTCACAGGAAGTAAAGAACTGAAATGAGCAAATAATAAATAAGCTCCAGCACTGGGTTGTTCGTATTCTTATCACCGGAGACTTTCGTGGTTGAAGGTGTTTGTTTCTTTTGTTTTTTTTTTCTTTTAATACCGTGTTTCCCCCGAAAATAAGACCTAGTTGTGACCATTCCCGGGGCCGGTGGTGGCATAAGGGGGAACTTGAAGAGCCATGGGAGAGAATCAGCGGTGCCAAGGAAGCCGGCGCTAGAGGAAGCGAGGCGGCAGCGGAGGGAGCAGAGCCGCATAAGCCGATGCTTCCTCTATAGCCCCGCCTCCTGTCACAGGCGGAGTCATACCAAATACACTCTCCGCCTGTGAGGAACCGATAGTGAAAGCGCGCTTCGCTCATTCTGGCCAGCGATTGGTTATCACATTGCTCTTGGAAATGCACGGCCCTTTCCGATTGCCCCGATCACCATATTTTTGTGCATGAATATGTGCGGATTGTTGTACATTGGGGAAAAAATAGGACCTACCCCGAAAATAAGACCTAGTGTGTTTTTTTGAGCCCCAAAAAATGATAAGACAGTGTCTTATTTTCGGGGAAACGCGGTAAATGGTAAACAGATCAATGATTTTTTTTTCCAGCTTGCAGTTTTTGCACAGATCAATATTTAAGCGATAGTTATGTGTTATGAATCCTCCTCTTTTAGTTCCCCTGCTCGTGTATTTGTATCTTACTGCATAGCTGACATGCTTCCTCCATCTTGTTTTTTGGTCTGTTCTGTCCTGGTGATGTCTTGTTCACTGTTCCCCTTACCTTTTCCTGGTGCCCAGGTAGGATAGCACCTTTACAGTTACCCTTCAAGGCATTGTTTTTTTATATATACGAGGGCTAGTGTAGAAACTTCTATCAGCAGCACATGGCCACCATGCATAACACCTTTTGATCAGCACAGGGTCACTATGCATAACACCTTTGGTAACCACCTATGGTCAGCACATGGTCCCCACACCACCTTTGGTCAGCACATGGTCCCCACACCACCTTTTTTTTTCAGCACATGGTCCCCACACCACCTTTGGTCAGCACATGGTCCCCACACCACCTTTGGGCAGCACATGGTCCCCACACCACCTTTGGTCAGCACATGGTCACCACGTATAACACCTATGGACGGTCAGCACATGGTCACCACACCACCTTTGGTCAGCACATGGTCCCCATCTATAGCACCTTTGGTCAACACATGGTCATCATGCATAACAACTTTGGCCACCACCTTTGGTCAGCACATGGTCCCCATGTATAGCACCTTTCGTCAACACATGGTCATCATGCATAACACCTTTGGCCACCACCTTTGGTCAGCACATGGTCCCCATCTATAGCACCTTTCGTCAACACATGGTCACCATGCATAACACCTTTGGCCACCACCCATGGTCAGCACATGGTCCCCATCTATAGCACCTTTGGTCAACAAATGGTCATCATGCATAACAACTTTGACCACCACCTTTGGTCAGCATATGGTCACCATGTATAGCACCTTTTGATCAGCACATGGTCACCATGCATAACACCTTTGGCCACCACCCATGGTCAGCACATGGTCCCCATCTATAGCACCTTTGGTCAACACATGGTCATCATGCATAACAACTTTGGCCACCACCTTTGGTCAGCACATGGTCACCATGTATAGCACCTTTTGATCAGCACAGGGTCACTATGCATAACACCTTTGGTAACCACCTATGGTCAGCACATGGTCCCCACACCACCTTTGGTCAGCACATGGTCCCCACGTATAACACCTTTGGTCAGCACATGGTCACCATGCATAACAACTTTGGCCACCACTTTTGGTCAGCACATGGTCACCATGTATAGCACCTTTTGATCAGCACAGGGTCACTATGCATAACAACTTTGGCCACCACCTTTGGTCAGCACGTGGGAACTATGCACAGCACCTTTGGCCACCACCTTTGGTATATTGATTTGGGTATTGGGCTATCATTCGTGATGGATCCCAGGCTCCTGCACCAATACCGGTCACATTCCCTTACGCCTCTTGCAAAGCCAGCAGTGATTTTACGTCTCCATGTAACATAATAGAGCCCCTAATGCTCGGAAGGCGTGTGGAGTCTTTGGAACCCGCTGCACTGTTCCCTTGCCTTGTAAGTGTAAAATAACACTTCTGTGGTTTCTCTTTAGCTAAAAAGCAGGATGGAGCGGTTGCCATGGAGATGCAGCCGCTGAAGAGCGCCGAAGGTGGGGAAATGGAGGAGAGAGAGAAGAAAAAGACCAGCGTCCCAAAAAAGGAGAAGTCCGTTTTACAAGGGAAACTTACCAAACTGGCGGTACAGATAGGAAAAGCAGGTAAAATGGGCATTCATGTGTACATCATCGGCAAGGGTTCATGTAAGGTGTGCAGAGGTCCTCATCCGGTATTTGTTCTTGAAGCAGTATGGATGAAATGTCTTGAAGAAGAATGATTGATGTTGTTAGAGATGGTGGAACCTTACCAAGTTGTGACCTGAGAGCCTATCTCCCTTGCATTGGGGTACCCCTGTTCTGCCAGAGTCAGCTGCTGTTTTCTTGTCTAGAGGTATTCTTTAAAGGGTGTTACCTGATCTCCGCTTCCCCAGCAGTTGGAACTCACCTATGCTGTGACTTGTGATCCGTCCCTTGGCCTCCTCATGTGTAATGCAGGGCTATGGGCCCTGCATTGTACATGACGATGTTGTCTGGACCCCGACCACCGGACTGCAGGGGAAGAGGCCGTGGGCGCCGGTCTTGGGCTTTAGTTATGTTTGAGTTTACAACTATGGGCCTTGTGTATTTAACATATCTAAAAGCAAAGCGACTTTCCAGTTCTGATTAATTCAGCAGAAGGAAAGAAAGAAGATTGCCTGCTATGGGCGACTTGGTTTTCCTTTTGACACTTGTGACACGCAAGTCCCCCCTTTTGAGGGAAGGGCTCTCCACGGAAGTAGTCTGTGTGGTCTGTCAACTGACAGATTCATTCGTCTTGAGTCCGAGGCCATTTCTGATCCTGAAGTAAACAGCTCAGTGGTGTCTGAATTTAATATGACGAACGTGTTTTCCTCATATCCTGGAAACAGAGATACCGTAGAATGAAAATGATCTTTTTTTTTTTCTTCTCTAGTTCAAAAACGTAATTTATTTTCCCTGAAAGTCTAACAAAAAATGCTTTTTTTTTCATTCTCAAACTAATGTAGATTCTCTGTTGCAATTTTTACTCCAAATTTATAAAATGTACATTTTGTCTTTAAATTATATATTTCGTTAAATAAATGTATGCGAAAAAAAACACAATGTACTCAAGAGGAGACGTGTTTGGCAACCTTAGAATTGGACTTTGGAGTAGAGCGAGTGCTGAGGTGAACCGATGGATGGTGAGGTCAACCATTGGCTTCATCGGCACACCATGGAAAATCAAAGGAGGAACATTTATTCTTGATACAAGAAGAGAGTTGCAATGTTTTTGGCCTTAGAGTGGTCAAGGCATCAAGCCAACATTGACTTTTTCTCACCTTGGTGTGGTGGTCATGCATGTTCATCACCAGCACCCCATGGCCGAGCAGCTGCATCCAAGCCTTACATCACCAAGTGCAATGCAAAGCGTGGGATGTCGCGGTGTAACGCACGCCGCCACTGGACTCTAGAGAAGTGGAGACGTGTTCTCTGGAGTGACCAATCACGCTTCTCTGTCTGGCAATCCGATGGGCGTGTCTGGGTTTGGCGGTTGCCAGGAGAACGGTACTTGCCTGTCTGCATTGTGAGAAGAGTAAAGTTTGGGGGAGGGGGGGGGTTGTTTTTCAGGGGTTGGGCTTGGCCCCTTAGTTCCAGTGAAGGGAACTCTTAAGGCATCAGCATACCAAGACATTTTGGACAATTTCCTGCTCCCAACTTTGTGGGAGGAGTTTGGGGACGGCCCCTTCCTGTTCCAACATGACTGCGCACCAGTGCACAAAGCAAGGTCCATAAAGACATGGATGGGGGAGTTTGGGGGGGGAGGAACGTGACTGGCCGCACAGAGTCCTGACCTCAACCCCATAGAACACCTTTGGGATGAATTAGATCGGAGACTGCGAGCCCCTCCCCCAACATCAGTACCTGACCTCACAAATGGTCCAACATTCCCATAGACACACCCCTAAACCTTGTGGACGCCTTCCCAGAAGAGGCAGAGCTGTTATAGCGGCAAAGGGCGGGGCCAACCCAATACTGAACCCTAAGGACTAAGACTGGGGGCCATTAGAGGGCGGAGCCAACCCAATAGTGACCCCTACGGACTAAGGCTGGGATGCCATTAGAGGGCAGAGCCAACCCAATACTGAACCCTACGGACTAAGACTGGAATGCCATTAGAGTTCATGTGCGTGTAAAGGCGTCCCAATACTTTTGGCAATATAGTGTATTTATGATAGCAGCGCAGGCAGAATTATTCAGCATTGCACTGTGTCTCTCCATGGATCAGTATTTAGCTAAATATTGAGCAATATCCTACATCTTCCATAGGGTGGACATCTCAAAGTCAATAGAGATGCCAGACATCATGAACATGCTATTTGATGGGCAGTTTAAAGTATATATTATATTGCAGCTTTAACAGTCTTTAAGTGTATTGGCTGCATTAGGTTTGTTTTCAGGCTCAGTACATTTTCTGCAAGGAGAAGGTGTTTTGTAGTCTAGACCAAGAGAGCAGCCTTGGGTGACAGCGGTGCTCCTCCATAGATACGGCGCGGTGAGGGAGTCACCCAAGGGCCAGAAGGGTGTTACTGGCAGAATCGTCAGGCAAAAGTAAAGGAAAAGAAAAGGAATGCAGCCACCACATCTAAGGACTGAGAAATTGCAATCCATTACATTTGTGTTCTTGGGTTAGCTTACAGCCGCCGACTCGTAGATAGCCCGCTCTACAGTAAAACTTGCAACAGGAATCAATGTGCTGCTGCCTTATTCTGCCTCTCTGTCCCTTATTAACCTGGTTTGTCCTTTCTGACACCCTTCTTCTCTTATGCTCTTTTCCTTTCTCCTACTCCCCTTAATGCCCCCTCCCCCCCAACCAGGTCTGGTGATGTCGGCAATTACGGTTATCATCTTGGTGCTCTACTTTGTGATTCAAACCTTTGTGGTGGAGGGCAAAGTGTGGCTAGCGGAGTGTACCCCTGTCTACGTGCAGTACTTTGTCAAATTCTTCATCATTGGAGTCACTGTCCTAGTGGTGGCTGTGCCAGAGGGCTTGCCTTTAGCCGTTACCATCTCTCTAGCCTATTCAGTCAAGGTAAGCAGCAATGGCCGTAGACCTCTCCGTAATGCAACCCGATCCAAAACCTGCCGATTTTATTCACAAGAAATGACTGGAATGAAACATTATATATGGTTGAAAGCAAAGATGAAGTCATCTAAATGTGAAGCCTAATTGTGCCTCTATTATAATTGTGCCTCGTGGACCTATATGGGTTGGACTTGATGGACGTATGTCTTTATTCAACCCCAAATACTATGTAACTATGTAACTAGATGTAACTAGATGTAACTATGTAACTATGTAAGCACGACTAGCACCGCATAGCAGGCAGCACCAAGAGCTCGGCTCCTCCGGTGGACTTTTCAGGCAAGCAGAAATCAACTCCAGTTGAGAGTCTGTTTCTACCTCCTGTGGCAAACTATTGGCTGTCCCTTGTGATTGGCAGACTCAATGGCGAATATGCAGAGAGGGGTGAGAACAGGCTCTCGACAATGGGAGTTGGGCAAAACTGGCATTCTGGCTTTCAGATGTCCCAGGTTCCCCTAAGGCAGGGGTGTCAAACTCAATGTAATGGTGGGCCGAATCAACATTATGGTTGCCCTCAAAGGGCCTGTAAGACGATATAAATGTATCTAATCTTTATCATCATTGCCTCTGCATTCCATGATCACGGGTTGTAGTAATAACGTAATACCTAGATCTGAAAGTAGAAGTCTAGGAAGTGGCCTGGTGGGTCGGATTCGGCCCCTGGGCCTTGAGTTTGACACATGTGCACTAAGGGAAAGCTGATGGGACATGTAGGCTCTTGTAGGATACCTTAGAAACCTCTATAATCACTTCTAGTAATGCGTAGCAAGAATTGTCTTTGTTCAATCAACATCCAACGCTTTCTATAACACACCACTCCTATGATGACATGAGGAATCTTGCTCAGTTTACTTTCATTTGAGATGAATGTAATCCAAGGCAGCAAGATTCCAGAAATATCCCACGTGGGCTTCTGCAAGGACTTCTGTAGCATCAGGTCACTTGGTTTTGTGTTGGCCAACTTCATCTCTCTCTTTATATAGGAGATAGTAGAGTAAGTAGGTGGGGTGAAGGAACACCTGACCTGCACATAACTATGTGTAGTGCTCACAGAATAGCGGCTCATTGACAATAAGGCCCTTTTTAGCAGTGGGGTTCTCTGGTGTATTTTAGATATCCCTGGTTGTACGCTCCCTGAATAGACGGGGCTGCATTACCTTTATAAAATGAATGTTCATTTTAATCCGGACTGAAGTGTGTCTTAAAATGACTCTGTCACTTAAAAACAAGCAAAAAAAAAAGGAAGACTGCTACCAGGCACCATGGCAGGCGCCTAGAGGTACCCACACATGTGCCTGTAACAACCCCTATCCCACTACGCCCGGCTGTTCTGATCAGGCACAGTGTCTACATTTCCTGGTGGTGACTGATTGGTCAACAGGAAGATGTGGAAGCAGAATAGGATGGGTAAGCTTAGAGTCCAGGTATGTCCAAACTGCGGCCCTCCAGCTGTGGTGGAACTACGAATGCCATGAGGCTTTGCAAGATACTCACAGCCACTGACATGACTCCCGGAGAGAGAGATGCATCATGGGATTCGTAGTTTCACCCACAGCTGGAGGGCTGGAGTTTGGACATCTCTGGCTTAGACACTACCATAAGGGGCCCAATCTGAATGGCTTGGCATTCAGACATAGTGGGTGGGGACGCGATAGGTGGCTACAAGTATGTTCGGGCATCCCTAGGTGTCTACACTTTACACCTGGAACCGCAAAGAATAGCTTTGCCTCTTTGATGACAATGTAAAGTTATAAACCTAGCTTTGGGAATATTTTGCCTTTAATTCAATTCAATGCCAATCTTGACCTTTCCGAAATTGAATTTTTCAGGCAGTGAAATACAAGATGCATCGCTTTAGGAGATTTTGGCAGATTTTATATTTATTGTAACTGTACAGAGACGTAATGAAACAGGACCGGTTACAGATAATAATTAGATAGGAGGGCCGGTATCAATGGGCTTCCACGGGCAAATGCAGCTTGCTCTTGACATCAGTGTGAGATGCTCTCGAGATCCTCCAGGACTCTTTGCAGGGGAACTTGACCTGTTTCAGCTGATTTTGCATTTCCGTAGACACGTAGCAGTAGAAAAGGTTCGGAAGAAAACAAAAGCCCATTGACACCGGTCCTAAAGCAGTCCTAGACCCAGGCAACATTATCCTTCCAAAGAGGGTGAGGTGAGTTAGTTGTAAATTGTAGAGGACTTGTAGTAGGTATTCTGTAGATGACCAGTTTTCCATCCATTGCACAACGGGGTTCATTTACTAAAGGCAAATAGGCTGTTGACTTTGCAGGGGAGGTTCCCCTTAACCTAGTGAACGTGTCAAATATTCACTTTGCAAAGAATACCCAATAGGGTGCAAGGCAGGGCCGGATTCCTGGCGGCACGGAGAAGAGGGGCGGCACACGTTTGAAGTCACAAACATGGAGTTCCATTGCAAGGTGCTCATGCTTGGATGATGGAAGTCGGCAGAGCTTCACCTCATTCACTAAGCTAAAAGACAATTCCCTTTTCAAAGTGCAAATTGCCTATTTGCCTTTCGGCAAATCAACCCCAATGTCTCCGTGGATTCGCTCTTCTGTTCCTACACAGCGTGTTTGGGTGACGGGAGGACGCTAGTTTGTGTCCTCCCGTTACCCTAAGGAGAACTATGGGGAAAAGCCCTGACCCCATAGTTCTCCTTTAAGATAAGCCAATATCCATTGAGAGCTCCAGTCCATATATGATCGCTCCTCGTGCACAGTCCCAGCTCTGATGCCCATCACACATACTGTGCAGTAAAAACCTCTTGCCGGGGTATCAATGACAATGACATATATATATATATTGTTGTTGTTGGTAGGATCGAAGTGTTCAGATATTTTACAGCTCTGCTTATTCCACAGAAAATGATGAAGGACAACAACCTTGTACGGCACCTGGATGCTTGTGAGACAATGGGCAACGCCACTGCCATCTGCTCCGACAAAACGGGGACTCTGACAACCAACCGGATGACCGTCGTCCAGTCCTACATGGGAGATCTCCATTATAAAGAGAAGCCCGACCCCAGCAGCCTCAATTCCAAAAACTTGGACCTGCTCGTTAACGCCATCGCCATTAATTGTGCCTACACCACTAAGATACTAGTGAGTCATAACATAACGGAACCTTGAGCTTTTATTTATTGCAGGTATTTATAGAGCGCCAACAACTCATACAATGCTTTACTTACTGCGCATTCACATCAGTCCCCGCCCACAAGGAGCACACAATCTAAGAGCCCATTAAAGGAGAACTATGGGGTGAGTGATTGTCACTCATCCTCATAGTTCGGGGGCGACTTGTGACAATGAAACTGTCACACGTCGGCTCAATAGATCGGGAAGTGAGAGAACACATTCCGTGGCTTGCTCACTTCTCAGTCATCTCCCTGCAGAGAGCCGTGACTGTCACTCACGGCTCCCCACAGGGATTTCCACCCTCCCGCTGACTAGAGGAACGGACGGGGGAAGGGGCTTGTACAGCTGGCTCTGCCTCTAGATAGGCATCAAGTTCCACACTGTGGGTGGACCTGATGGCTCATCATTGGGGTCCGGCTCCAAGGTTCCAGACTTTGGGTGGCCTAGTGGGCCTTTGTGGAGAGAGCCGCCTCACCGAACCATTGCGCCCAAAGAATATGATTTATCGTCTTCAGCCACCACCTCTTGATTGCTTGTGTGAGCTCATATTGGAACGAGGACGTGCTCCCAGTGGCAAGCACCCGGCTCATTTATTTCCTGAGCCATGGAGGAGCCGTGCTTCTGTGAGTTGTATCCAGCACCTCAGCCACACACGTTCCCTGGCACTGACTTTCCCTAACTTCCTGTCTAGTAAAACCTTTGTCACCGGGACAGAGTAAGGAAACATTATGGGGGTTATTCACAAAGCTGCCGTAGGCAGCCGAGTGAATAACCGACCCGAAGTGAAGTGAGCCGAACGCTGTTCGGCTATTCACTTCAGGTTTGTACAGCTGATTTCAGCCATACACCGACTAAAACCAGCCGTACAACGGCTTGCTGTGACTGGCTTCGGATCGGCCAAAAATGCTCAGCATGTTCGGCCGACCCGAAGTGCAGAAGGAGTTCGACTCAGCCGATCCAGGCTACTCGCTGCTGTTCTGCCTATTCTCATAGATGCCGAACAGCAGTGCGTGTATAGCCGAATGCCGCCGAGCGGCATTAGGCTCGGCTATTCTGCTCGGTACCTTCTGTAGTGCCGAGCAGAATAGAAAACCAGTTTAAAAAAGTATGACAAAAAAAAGGGAAAACGATTGGGCGGAGCTAGCAGTGACAGCTAGCTCCGCCCAACTGTTTTCTTTTGGCCGGGACCAGCTGTCATTACAATGACAGCTTAGCAGAGCCAGTGGTGATACGAAAGCCGACTCTGCTGAGCTCTCTTGGTACTGACAGTTCAGCGTCCCTGGTTACCAGGTAACCAGGGACGCTGAACTGTCAGTACCAAGAGAGCTCAGCAGAGTCGGCTTTCGTATCACCACTGGCTCTGCTAAGCTGTCATTGTAATGACAGATGGGCGTCCCTGGTTACCTGGTAACCAGGGACGCTGATCTCTCCCTGCAAGTGGCCGGAGCCAGCCGTGAGATGACGGCTGGCTCCGCCCAGCTGTCAAAAGCAGGCTGTCGGCCAGCTTCGAATTTCACCTCGACTCAGTTGAGCCGAGGCCTATGCCTTCGGCTCGACCAACTTCGGGAGCTGTACGGGCTATAGTGAATAGCCCGTACAGCAGCCCTTCGGTTCTACTGAACCGAAGGGGTCCTGGGGCCCGACGCTAGCCGAAGGATCGGCCGAAGCTACGGCTAGATCCTTCGGCAGCTTTGTGAATAGATCCCTTTTATTAATGGAGCACCGGAAAAAAGTATAAGCCAGACCGAGGTTCTAAAAAAATGTTTCTTGGCCTGACATGGACGTGACGCTATTAATACATAACGACGGCTTCCCTCGATGCTGATTCAGTGACACGTATCTGCTTCTCTCTCTCTTTTTAGCCTCCAGATAAAGAAGGAGCGTTTCCCCAGCAAATAGGCAATAAAACTGAGTGCGCCCTGCTTGGCTTTGTTCTGGATTTGCAACGGGACTACCAGCTGGTGCGAGACCAGATTCCTGAGGAGACGCTCTACAAAGTCTACACGTTCAACTCCGTCCGCAAGTCCATGAGCACCATTGTGCGCCTGCCCAATGGAGGATTCCGGCTGTACAGCAAGGGAGCATCGGAGATCATGCTGAAAAAGTGAGTAACGTGGAATCCAGAAAGTGAAGGTTTCTTATGTTATGGGGACTTCTATAAATGTGTCTGAGCCGTACAACGAAATGTCTACATTGTGTCTGAGCCGTACAACCAAATATATACAATGTGTCTGAGCCGTACAACCAAATATATACAATGTGTCTGAGCCGTACAACCAAATATATACAATGTGTCTGAGCCGTACAACCAAATATATACAATGTGTCTGAGCCGTACAACCAAATATATACAATGTGTCTGAGCCGTACAACCAAATATATACAATGTGTCTGAGCCGTACTGAGAGGTGAGCGAGCGCCGGTATGTGTTCCCTCACTTCCCGATCTACTGAGCCGACCTGTGACAGTCTCATTGTCACAGGTCGGCTAGAACTATGAGGTGAGTGAAAAGCCCCTCCCCCTCATAGTTCTCCTTTAATACATAGCACACAGAAGCCGTGGCGGCGGACACGGTACGAGGCGCGAGGAGTGAGGCGCGGGTGTGTTAGACTTTGCCGTATCTGGCATAGAAAATGAAAGTTCCCTCAGCCAGATTGGACGGCAGGAAATCAAAGAGCTGCCGGGGGATTAGCGCGGTCATAGGCGCATACCATATGTTCCCCACGTGCGCTCCCTATAAGAAACTTCCATTTCTTGTACTGGGGTCTCACACGCCTGGATGATTTTATTTCCTTAGTCCTGGGAACCATGGAGAAACCTTAATTAAAGACAATGGGGGGGCCCGAGGCATCGAAATAGAGTAGCTCCATATTGCGGGCAATCATCTGTGTTGTGGGGGGAGGGGATCTGTAATCAGAGGCAGATCAGGCAATAAAAGCATTACCATGGCCCGGATTAGATGGTG